TTATAACAAGATATTTAAGCAACATTGAAAACATTGGGGAAGGGGAGGTGAGTGGGTGGGGAAGGGTGTTCAGATACTCACAGAATAACAATTGAAATGTTTAAACAAATAGATACAGTGCTGGAGGCAAACTCCTGTCTATGCCAAAAATGAGGTAGATAGTTACCTGGTGAAGGATTTTTTTGTACCCATTCCCCAAGCAACCTTTGCACCTTTCTTTGCAATATTTACTTTGTCTTCTTGAAACACCAGAAAGATGTCTATCTGTGTTTCTTTGACTATGCAAGGTCATTGGACTTAGAGAATCATAGCAAATTCTGAACAACATTGCAAACTACTGGATTTCAAGAACAATTGATTTACTCATGGGGAACTGTACAAATACTAAGAGGGAGTTGGACATAAAGGGTTACTCTGGTTTTCTATCAGGAGAGGTGTGAATCAGGATTTTATCCTTTACCACACTTATTCAATCTGTATGTTGAGCAAATAATTCTAGAAGCAAGACTATATGAAGACAGGTGCAGCAACAGGGTTGGGGGAAGACAGTAACAACCTGGAGTATGCAGATGACAAAACTTGCGTGCAGAAAGTGAAGTGGACTTGAAGTATGTACTGATGAAGATCAAAGACTACAATCTTCAATATTGATTACATCTCAACATAAAGGAAACAGAAACTCTCATAAGTGGATCAATAAGCAGCATCCCGAGAAAAGGAGAAAATATTGAAATTGTCAGGAATTTACTTTGTCTTGGATCCACAGTCAATTCCCATGGAAGATGGAGTTGAATTCAAACAATATATTGCATTGGAAAAATTGCTGATTTTACCTGGAGGGCTAAAGTGTGCCTGACCTAAACCATGGTATTTTCAGCATCCTCAGGTGCATGTGAAATCGGGACAATGAATGAAGATGATTGAGATAGTTAGTTTATTGTGCCAACCTGGCCAATAAACACATGGGTTAGTTGAAGGGCGGAGGGATAAAAGGCTCAGTGAGACTCGCCTTTCTAGTTCTCAGGTCTCTTGCTTTGCGATGGTCGAACCAGGTGCAGCTGCCTTAACCAGTTCCTTGCTTCAGCTGGCAAGGCTCACTTCCTGTAAGACATCCCTGAGGAGAAGCCACATGGACCTACCCTGATGCAGCCCTGGGTACTGGAGCACCCGTGTGGAGACCCCTGCCAACCCTGAGATGCTTACACATTCACGGCCTCGGCTTTCCTCCTGCAATCGGCATCATTGCGTCTGTTTTGTGAGATGGAGGAGGACTTTGTGGATTGGTGTTGGACATATGGGTTAATGGGCTAATGTTGGACTTGTGGGCTTGGGCAGCACTGGGTTGGGATGTTTTCTTGATGTGCACTTAACCTTTATATAAAACTCTGTCTTATACATGAGTTTCTGTGGATTTGTTTCTGTAAAGTACCCAGACTAACACAATGATAAACAGAAGAATTTGTGTCTTTGAATTGTGGTGTTGGTGTAGACTATTAACTGCACAATGGATTGCCAGAAGAATGAACAAAGCTGTTCTGTAAGCAGTTCAGCCAGAATACTTTTTAAGGACAAGAACAACAAGATGTAGTGTCATGTACTTTGGATACATTATCAGGATAAACCAGCCTGGAAGAATGCCATCATGCTTGGTAAAATAAAGGGCCAACAAAGGAGAAGAAGAAGGAGAAGGAGGAGGAGGAGGAAGAGGAGGAAGTGGAGGAGAAGGAGGAGGAAAAGGAGGTGGAGAAGACCTTCAAAAAAGATGGATGGACACAGTGCTCCAAAACAGAAAGCAGCATTTGCGGGGACAGTGCAAGCCTGGGCTTAGGACCGATATGAGACAGAACTTGTTGGCAACAACAACAAATGAAATGCAACTAGTTCTTTAATTTTACAATGTCTGCAAAATTCTCTTGTATGTCCAAAATATTGCTACAAAATCATAGAAGCTTTTATTATGCCCCCGAAAAAATCGAGATGTAAAGCTGTTATTCCTTGATACAACCTTCATCTAGGACTCCACACTTCTGAAGCCCTATTTCCACCTCTCTAACTCTTGCCAGAGGAGTTTTGCACTCTTCAATTTACACGCCATCCGAACGGCAGCACTGCCATCCTCGTGTTCCTTCGTCCTGTTCTTTGAGCTTGGGGAACACAGAGGAATCTGAAGGGGAAAGGGGAAGGATGGATGGGGTAAAGTTTCCCAACAGTATTCTTAGAGGCCAGCCCCTGTTACCCCATAAGGATGAATAGGTACATTATCTGAATAGGAAAAAAAAATTTTTTTGATCCAACTTTCTTGGCTTTTTCTCAACAATGCAGGTTTCAATATTCTTAAAGTTTTTTCAAAGTAAGCACCCATGTCTGTCTTCGGTTATTTGAGAAAACCTAACAAGATGGCCCACTTCGGGATAACTTCAAGCAATCACCAGCACCTTGTGAAGCTGAGCCTTTATTTGCTGGCTCAACAGACCCCTTTGGAGACCACAGTTTTGATGGGATCATGTGTGTGTGTGTGTGTCTGGGGGCGGGGGGCGGGGCGGGAAAAGGCACCTTCATCTACCTAAGTCAAATGCACTACTGAGGGAATGTGTCCAGTCATCCATGAATTACAGAGATCCACTTTATTTTGAAGAAGCTAGGGCATGTTCTAACGGGAACCGAGTAGCAATATTGTTTTCCTTCTCCTCATTCAAGACAGGACTGACGCATAAAGGTAGTAGTCCTTGGAGTTGAATGGAGACAGGTAGGCTTCTCTCATCAAACAAAATGAATATGTAACACATAATTATGATAATAAGGGAGAAAGATGAATTGATGCAATGGATGCTCCCTACTCCATTTTTTTTCCTGTTCGACATGATTTTATTTGCTTAGCCTTTTTCTTTGTCTTGCCCTGGCCATGGGGTTTGGAGTGGAAGCATGAAACAGGAAGGACCTGAGTCTGAATCTACAGAATTCTATAGGGCGGGTGGCGCTGGAGCCACCCAGCATGATTTGCAAATAGGGGGCTTCCAAAAGCTTGTGGGAAAATAGAATAAAAAAGAATGGGCTTTCCCTACAAATTCACTCAGTGTCCTCGGAGATGTTCAAACAGGACATTTCCCATGAATTTACGGGAAATAAAAGAACAAAAATCCGTAATTTTTTCCAAAGTTCTGAATCCAACTGAAATCCTAAATCTAGGTGCCTCTTAAAACCAGCCTTGATGCCCCTGATTTTTCTCAGATTCTGCTCATTAGCGCGCCAGAGACGAAACCCTGTTTGTGCTGAGATCTGCCAAACACATGTTGCTGTTCTATTGGTCAGTGTTTTGTAGTCAAGGTGGTTTTACAAAGCACATAAAGCTTTGCTTGATACAGTTGTCCGAGTTTTGAAAATGTTCAGCCAGGACTTCAAAAGGTATATAAGACAATTAGTGAAGTAGACATTTGGTTTTGGATAATTTAGACTATTCGGAGCTTCCTTTGAGTGACAGAAAAGATTGATGAAAGGAAAACCCTTAATGTTGAGTGCCCAATACTGGTTTCTCTCTAGCACAGTTGTCAAAAATGATATTTCACATTTTGTCTTTTCTCAAATGATCTTCAAAACTCACATTGCATTATCTAGGCATGCAAACATTTGGAAAATCAGAGCTTAATACATTCATTGTTTCTGAGCTCTCACAAGAGAAATTATTCATAGTGCCCAGTGTGGCTTAAAGCAAGAGTTTTCCTACAATAGCTTCTATGATCTTTAAACAAGCTGCAAAGGGAAGTAAGGCAGAAGTCCTGACTGGCTTTCTGGATTAATCCTGATAGAAGTATTCTCCAGAACCCATTTTGAAGAGAATGTATTCTTGTTCTATTGGTCAGTGGCCTTTACAATGTGGACATGGGAAAGTGGGTGTTGGCATCTGGGATGTGCAGGTGGAAATAATTAAGAATAAAAATGGATTTGGGAAACTGATTTTCGTTTCTCTTTATTCTCAACATAAAAAATGTAGTTCAAGGCTCCTTGACTCTCTCAGCCACTCATTATATAAATGCATTAGTAGACTATTTGATGTTTTATTGTTTATGATTTAAAAGCTACTTGATCTAGTGTATGGAATATGGATGTGTACATCTATAAGCACACATATATGGTCAAATCTCTGTTTCACATTAAACATCTACTGTATGTTTCACAAGGGAGACAAGACCCATGTGTTTTGCAGAAGCTTTTAAAGCTGTTTCATTTATTTTATTAGCCTTTAATGAATGTAATTAGAACCCAAGTAATTAAATGCAATTGTGCTCAGTATGTTCCTGTTGTAAATTGCCCTAAACAATGTGCATCGTGTGAACAAATTTGTGGGATTAATCGAGGATAGATAATGTTTTTGGATAGTATTTCACACTAAACGGCCGCAGAGAGAAACAAAGAAGCTGGCGCAGTGTCATTAATCTTAGTCAACTGGCAGCTCTGGTGTAATTTGCATGACTTAGGCAGTGACACAGGATGAGGCTTGCTTGGGATGGGTGTTAGATCACTATGATACGTATGTATTTATTCCCCTTTAGTCGCCTGATTTATAAGCAGAAAGAAGTTTGCATGTGGAAAAGAAAAAGAAACACCAACAATGTTAATGGAAGGAGTTGTAGATTACTCAAATTATTACTAGGAATATACATGTTCCTTGTTTTCCATTTATTCTTTGTTTTCTGTTTTATGGGTGTTAAGAAGGCATCTGTGAATCCTTGTCATGATAAAAACAGATGCAGATATATTATGACTGGATAGTGTAATACCAATGGAAGAAGTTTGGCTACTCCCCGCCCCTGCTCCCCACCACCCCTCCGTATCTAATATATATTGATTCATTGCTTTAAGAACCTCTGCTTTTCCGGAGAGGCACTTTTGAATTGCATTATAGAAAACCTTCAAACTCCACTTATGAAAATATCATTTAGTAATAAGCATTTGGGAGCATGAATAGCAAATGCAAATGATTTTTTTGTTTGTTTCATCCTAAGACGTAGAAGGCAACCCTGATTTACAGAGACAATTAGATAAGACATCCTAAGAAAAGCACGGAGATTGAACTTCAAATGTCATAACAGATGACAAATAAAAGGTAAGCGAATCTGAGGAGTTTTGAACTGAAATGGCCGTGCCCTTGTGACCTAACAGACATGCTAATCTCAGCTCCCCCAAGTGCACCTGACATTGATGAGCAGTTGGGTCGGGCCAATGTGTTCTGTTTCTTCTGTTGGAGCTGAAGTTGCTTTCAAAGTTATCTAAACTGTAGCCAAGTGATGTTGAGGGTAGCACATAGATACTGTCTGTTGGAGCTGAAGTTGTTTTTTTTGTAGACAAGTGATGTTGAGGGTAGCACATAGATACTGTCTTTGAAAATGCAGTAATTACTCCCTGCTAGACATAAACATTTGAGAGAAAGCCTGATGAATAAAGTAAGAGGTGTATCAGCTCTGAAGTTGGAAAGAGACATTCGTTAATTGAAGAATTGCATTTCACAATGATTTTGAGGTTGGACTATGTCCAATGTCTTCTTCTGCATGCAACTGTTTCATTTCGATAATAATTTCATCCACTTTTTCATAATTCATATTAACTTATGGTTCTGAAGTTCAATGAAAGCTATGAGCTTTAGTAAGTTCTATATTTACCCCCAGAGAGTTCTCCTGCCTTAGTAAATATATAAATCTGAAAAAAATTTGCTGTACTATAAAAACTTAGTATCCTTTTGATCTCTCAATATTTTCTGTTTCTATCTTTGTCTTTTGCATAGCTATTGCAGTGTGTGTGTGTCTTTGTGTCTGTGTGTGTGTAATTATCTCATTTTATGTTCTTATTTCAAGGACATTCAAAAACAACAAAAATAATTAACATTTCATGAGCGTATCTGACTCCTATTAATATGCCATTGACCTGCACACCCCATTCAACATTTAAAAACCTAGGACTACAGTATTTATTATGAGGTCAGCCATATCGATATACCATTAAAATGAGTCATATTTAATACAGTGCCTAGAAATGATCTTGTTAATGCAAAAACTTGTATGGTAGCACAGCTATAGCTAAAATGACATGGGTCATTGTAAAGCTCAAATATTATATAAATCACTTGGAATGAGAAAAAAGCATGAAAACAATGACATGTTGAAGTCAGACTTATTGTTTCAGACTCACTGGGCATCGAACTGAAGGGGAGAAAGGCATTGTCTCCACTGCCAGCTCTTCCTTCCATGCGTGTTATAGTCACTGGAGGATCATTGTTTTCATAGATCAAAAGGAGGTCTTTTCAATGCTGGCAGAAATATTACTCTAAAAATGATGTAAACTAGTGGATCCTCAGCTGGGCATCGTAACTGATCATCACATGATTCAGTCAGTGTGCTGCCTGAGTGATCACCATTCCTGTGCACTCTCTTATCCAAATAAAAAGACAAGTATAGCACACGAAATTTGTCCAGGGGACTCAGAAAGAAGCATTTCAACTCAGTTGTGCAGAGGAAATGAAAGTACTTCCCAGAAGTCTTTGTGTGGTATTATCTTGGTATGCAGTCCAAGGTACGATTAGAGGCATCTATACATGCCAGATATGCCATTAATTGCAGTGTCAGGTCTTCAATGGACTCATGATGGATGCTGCAAGGCTGCGGTATCGGACTTCCCTCGGAGCATCCAGTATCTTTCTGTCCACATTACAACATTCAGCTTTAAAATGTATACAGCAATGTATCTATTATTGACTTAAATCTTACTCACAAATTGCTATGTCTATACAACCTATGAGATGCATCTGAAATTAAACCCCTAAAGGCTTACACCGAGTATAGACAAGTGGAACGGACACATTAAAAAACAAACGTGGAGCAGACACATTAAAAAACAAACAAAAACAAAAGAGAATTGCATCTACATTGACTATTATTATGAAGACTTAAAAACATAGACACCATTAAAGGTATTGAAATATCTGTACTTATATAACTCCTGTTAAGATACTGAGAAAAAGAGATAAGCACCTAAGAGTTCATGTATTATATACAAGTGGGTGGCTTGGTTTATAAGCATGATCACATTTTATTTTCTTAGAAGGAAGTGAGATAATAATTGACCTGAAAGCTCCTTTTTTTTTTTTTTTGAGCTCAATGCTTTTATTTTTCCCATAAGGACACTGAAATTCAGATTGGTTAAAAGACTTGTCCAAGATTTGTCAGATAATAAACATTATAGTAGGTCAAATTGCACAGAATTATTCATTGTTAATCTAGTGATGTCTGCTCTGTAACACATAATTTTCTTTTTTGTTGTTTATTGTTTTATTTTTTTTAAACATTTTATTAGGGGCTCATACAACTCTTATCACAATCCATACACACATCAATTGTGTAAAGCGCATTTGTACTTCATTCTCAAAACATTTTCTCTCCATTTAAACCCCCAACATTAGGTCCTCATTTTTCCCCTCCCTCCCCGCTCCCCACTCCCTCATGAGCCCTTGATAATTTATAAATTGTTATTTTGTCATATCTTGCCCTGTCCGACGTCTCCCCTCACCCCTTTTCGGTTGTCCATCCCCCAGGGAGGAGGTCACATATAGTCCCTTGTAATCGGTTCCCTCCTTCCTACCCACTCTCCCTGCACCCTCCCTGTTTCGCCATTAACACCACTGGTCCTGTAGGGCTCATCCGCCCTGGATTCCCTGTATTTTCAGTTCCTATCTGTACCAGTGTACCTCCTCTGGTCTAGCCAGACTTGCAAGGTCGAATTCGAGTCATGGTAGTGGGAGCGGGGAGGAAACATTTAGGACCTAGAGGAAAGTGGTATTTCTCATCGTTGTTACATTGCACCCTGACTGGCTCATCTCCTCCCCGAGACCCCTCTGCAAGGGATGTCCAGTGGCCTGCTAATGGGCTTTGGGTCTCCACTCCGCACTCCCCCCATCCGGAAAGCTCCTTTTTATGATTCGTGATCTCTCTAGCTGCTTAACATTTCTGCCCGTTACCGGTCTTATCAACAATATGGGAGAGAAAACACTTTGGGAAATTTACATACATGCACATGGGAAAGGAAATCAATTTCTAGAGACCAGTGTTCAATGGAAAAGCAGTATTCTACCTTGACCTTTGATAGAAGCCCTTGCACCTTCTGCTTTATTGGTGTACGATGGAAGGTGCATTGGCCTGAGTCCAAAGTTAGGGTTCAAATATTAGCTTTGCTGTGTATAGGATGTGTGATGTTAGCCAAATCATTTAGATTCTCTTTTCCCTTATGGGGGAACAAGATTGACTCTCAATTGGATTTTAACACATAGCCTTTTAGTTAGAGCATGAGATTTAGATGTTATGGAGGCTGCAGGCAGCACTCTCCTTTTCCAGCAGGTCTATTGCATGTAGAGCTAGTTAGCTTCCGAGAGAAATGGAGTAGTAGGTTAGTGAGGGTGGAATCTCTGTGGTGATGAATAGAGTTACCATGTAACAACAGAACACTGTAGAGGTTTATCACTGTGGGCAGCTGTTCAGGTCAGCAGGCACCTCTTCCCTACATGGTCACTCAGGGGCCCAGGTTCTTTTAACCTTGTGGCTCTTTGGGTCTCAGTGTCATAGGAAGCCAGCCAGTAGAAGGGAAATGGGTCACAAGAGAAGAGGGTAGGGTTTATGAGCTAAGCCTTAAAATGGTACACATCACTTCTGCTCAAATCCCACCGACTAGAATTTGGTAATAATGCTGATCGCTAACTTTGAGGGAGGTTGTGAAATGGTGCCTAGCTATATACTTGAAGAAACAGGAAATTCATCTTAATTCATCGATACCAGTGGTCTCTGTACCAGGCTACATCCCTATCCCTATATATCTACATACCTGCATTTATAAGTTTACACAGGGGTAGTCCTATAGAGACAAACCTGAGTGAGTAGCTCAGATCCGTAAGTCAGCATTCTTGCTGTGGGACCCAGTATCACAGCTGTTCACTGGAGCTACACTTCCTGTTTCCACATATGTAACCTTTGGACTCACAGCATACATGTGGCACATAGTCTCGGGCTGTATGGTTTGGGGTATCAGCCATAAACCACCTAGACTTAACTTTGGATCTCTAAAGTAAACTGGATGGGAAGCAAGGCTCAGAGGCCGTGTCATTGAGAATGAATGTGGTGGTGTACTGGGTTACTAACCACAAGGTCAAAATGACCTGTTGTACCTTAGGAGAAAGATGAGACTTTCTACTTGTGTCAACAGTTACAGCCTTGAAAACTCACAGGGGAGCCCTGTTCTGCTTTATGGGGCCACTAAGCATTGGAATCAGCCGGATGGCAGTCAGTGTGGACTTGTGTGTAATTCAGAGAAGTAGCATCATTTGAAACCATACACAAGTAAGTTTTGAGAATACATATTAGCTTCTTAAACAAATCTTGAAAAACATAACATTTCGGGAAGATATTTATAATAACGGTCCTTAGTAATATGTAGGGCTTCTAACGTGTGATTTAACAATATTCTATAATTTGGCATATATTTATATATCTATCCCCTATTTGTAAGTCAGTTTTATTTTAAAAGTTTATTCTTGGCATGGCAGAATAAGAGAGGCAGTAGTCTATACCCTGTCTGATAGTTGGTAGTTGCTAAAACAAAAACAAAAAACAACTGATTATGATTTTTACTTATCAACTACTGTTCACAGATAACTTCATTTCACAGCAGCCTCTAAACAACACCATGAAGTAGACATGGCTATTCCTGTTTTCCAAATGAAGAGATAGGCTAAAATGTTCAGTAATCTGCACAAGGTGCCCAAATTCTCAAGCAGCAGAACCAGGATTCAAATTTCTGTAGCTCTGAATCCAGAGTCTACATGGGTAATTATACAGATTGTTTAATGAACATTGCTTTGCATGAGCGTTGGACTGGCTGTCCAGGGAAAGAGTCCTCGTCTAGAAGATGTTGTAGGGTGACTGGACAGAATGCTCAAGTCCCGGGGGCTAACCCAGGCTAGAGAGATGGAGGGGCAGTCACAGACCTACACAGGCAATTCAGAGAAGTAGGCGGTTCACTGGAATGAGGACCAGGTACAAGCACAGCACGTTAGTGATGGGTCTTCATGGGTCTTCATGTCCTTAGTCAGAAAATGGAAACAAGAGGCGTCCCTCACACCAAGGGATGCTATGAAGGTTAAACAAACTCTAGCCCAGTGTACTGTGGACAATTGTGATTGTTGCTTTTGTTGTGCTATTGAGTCGATGCTGGCTCATAGCAATACTATAGGAAGGAGTAAAACGGTTCCGTAGGGTTTCCTAGATTATAACTTTTCTAGGAGGAGAGCACTCGCTTTTGTCTCCTGTGGAGCCACTTGCAGCTCTGAAGTGCTGACCTATGAGTTAACAGTCAAGTGCTTAGCCTTGGCACCTCTCCAAATTACTGCCATCCAGTCGATTCTGAATCAGCAGACCCACAGCCAGCCTCAGCTTTCTCCTGTAGAGGGGCTGGTGAGTTTGAACTGAAGCTCCCCTCCCACCCACCCCGAGTCCACTCTGCTACCAGCGTTCCTTATGGCACCTCCAGAGCTCCTTTGAAAATGTTCAGTATTTACTAAATAATTTTTAAGCCCTCTTCAAGCTGTATAAGGTCATGATGTAAGACTCCTAGGAATTTACAGGTTTGAGAGCTAGAAGGGAAAATACGAAGCAGAAGCATCATCAAAGTTCCATCCCAGGACAGTTCTCTGTTTCAGGTGGGCAAATGGCAAATTGATGAAGGGTCAGGGATAGCGTAGTAGTGCAGGGTTTTGGGCAGAAGCAGCAAGTCACCATGTTTTTGGGGTTATGTTTTCTGGCGGGGGTGGGGTGGGGATTTGTCCCAAGGAATAAGGACAAAGAACATGAAGATGAGCAAAGAAAGGAGGGTCAGGGTACAAGTCGAACCAGAGAGAGCGCCTTGGGTTCTTGTAATCCTTGGAAGGCCAAAGACAAGTCTCCTTTATCCATGAACATTCTGGACTTCTCTGGTCAGTGCTTCCATTAGAGTAACTCTTTAGTTGCATACATTTCTAAATCTGCTAAGGAAGGTTCTTATCCAAGAGCCAAAAGACTGCCTCTTCATTGTTTCAAGAGCACTTAAGACCTGTCTGAAATCAAATCTCTCTATGAATTAGGGCTCTGATGGCACTTGAACCTCCTATGAACTCTGTAAGAAGTGATTTTTTTTTTTTGGCTTCAGTATCTTCCTGGAACATGATCAGGGATTCCTGCAACATAAACTTTGACAAACAAATTTCTTTCTGACTAGAGAGCAGATCAGAGATTTGTAGAATTTTGTTCTAAGTGAAGGCATGTTTAGAGTGCATTTTTCCCTGGGAGAAAATGGATTTAAGTCATGCTTCCAGTAACAGCTGGCCCACATAAAACCCATTTGACCTTTAGTTCAGTTGAGTAATTGTTTCCAATAATGTTTATGTCCTGAGTTTCTTTCTGCAAATGTGAAGCAACAGTGAGCTATCTACTCACCTCCCTCGTCTACCTGTCACAGGGCCCCAGAAAATAAACGGCTTTTTATGCTGTTCTGGTTGTATAAGGGTGAACCTCCTCTGCCCTTGATTTTCAGGGCATTGAGGAAGGTTGCCAATTCTCAGGCAACCACTGCTTTGTAAGAGATTATCTTATGTATGATGTTCCTGTTTACTCAAACCCCCAAACAAACCCAGTGCCCTCAAGTCAATTCTGATTCACAAGGACTGAAGGACAGACCAGAACTGCTCTTGCATGTTTCCAACATTATAACTCTTGATGGGAATTGAAAGCCTCATTTGCTTGGAGTGGAGTTGCTGGTGGTTTTGAACTGCTTACCTTGTGGTTTGTAGCCTAACACTAATCTATGACACCACTTTGACTCCTCTTCCTATCTAAACTATCAGGCCTATGTAAGCCTGTTTTGGGCATAAGACCAAGGCACTATATTATTTTTAAAGTAAGAAGATAGTTTAGTGACTTACAACAATGATTTTTGTTCTTTTGTGTTGTTGTGTTGTTTGTGTTCTTTCGAGTTGTTGATGTTAATTTGCTCTCAAGTTGATTGCAAATTATGGCCATTCTATGTGTGCAAAGTAGAATTTCTCCACGGCTTTTTCAGGATTGGGACGTTTGGGAAGCCTCTGACCAGACCGGTCTTCTGAGACACCTCCGGTTGGGTTCAAGCGGCGACCTTTTTCATTAGCTGTCAAGAACGCAACTGCTGATGCCAACCAGAGGTCCCGCTTTCAAGTGAGTGCTCCTGAATTTGCAGACGCTGCCCCCGAAAGGAAATTCACATGGCTTCCGTCAGTCCTTCTTTCCTCTTGTCTGAGCTTTCATGCCCACGCTCCTGGTTCTCCTGGGACCACCGCATTTTCTATTCTGCATATGCTCTTTTCCTTGTGCATTAGGTGTTAATGGATCTCAAGGCTCTAACACCCTCCTTCCTCTTATTCCGGGCTCCTTTCTGGTGGTTGTGTCCACTCTTATGGACACCCATTAAAACCCAAAATATCCCAAATTTGTACTCCCAGCTCAGACCTCTCTGGCAGGTTGGGTAACTACGTGAGTGGGATTCAAAGAATTTACAGGAAGAAAACGAATGAAAAAGAACATGTTAGTTCCTCCACACAAACTTTTTGAAGCCTCCTCGAATATCAACCTGTTTGATCTGTTTCGCATGTACAACTAGCAAATGCAATGTTCCTCAAACTCACGGCAGCTGAGACAGTTTGGAGTCCAGCCCTTCTGGGAAGCTTCTTCCTCTCCCAGTGCGCTCTAAGTGTATTTCTAACATAAAAAAAAAACCATAATAACTGAGGTTGCCCTTGATTCCTCAATTGCCCCCACTGTTCTTATACAATTCATCACTGAGTTCTGTCAATTAGATCACCCAAGTAGTTCTCAAATCATCCCACTTCTCTTCCACTTCGTTGTCAGCCCCCATAATAGTGTTCTAGGTACATACTCTGCCAGCCTGCATTCCCATCTTCAATTCTTACATAACAATGATGATTTCTTCGAGCTATATCCAACAGCTTCTTTAGACCTCACCCAGCTCAAACCTCTTTAAAGCCTTTCCACATCTCTACAGATGAAGATCAGGTCTTTAATACCATCGACAAGGTCCTACGTGACCAGACACCAACCCTTACTTCTAGTCTCATTTTATAATATGTGCCTCCGTTCTTGCTAAATGCAACCCATGCAGTCTTTTCTATCCTTAAAAGACTGAATTCTCCTATTTCAGAATGTTCTTGAACAAAGGACGTCTTGTACCTCTAGCTTACTCTTTGCTAAATCATGTCCTGTTGTTGACACGCCTTGCTATCAGACCACTCTTACTGATAGGAACCCGAGAGGACAGCACAGACCTGACCCAGAAAGTGTCCACGGCTATACATTTTTTCCCCAGAATCAAATGGCTACATTTTCTTAACCATTGCACCTCCAGAGCTAACCCGGATAAAGTTGCTCCCAGTTCCTTGATACTAGTCATCTTACCTATTTCATGCTCATCCTTAGCTATTAATTAAATGCCAATCTTACCTATTTAATGCGCATAGAGGGTTCTAAGGAATTTTGGTGGCTATTAACCCAAAAGTTGGGATTTCCTACCCACGTGCAATTCCATGGTGTCTGGTGATCGGCTCCCATAACGATGGTTGTTATAATTGTTGGGTGCCATTGACATTGAACAAGGAAGACTGGAGAAGAATCAATGCATTTGAACTTTGGTGCTGTTGAAGAAGACTGCAAGTATCATGGGATACCAAAAGAACACACCAATCTATCTTGGAAAAAATGCAGCTGGAATGCTTCTTAGGGGCATGATGGTGAGGCTTGTCTCATGTACTTTGGACATGTCATGAAAGACCATCTCTGGAAAAAGACATCATGCATGGTAAAGCACAGGGGTAGTGAAAAAGATGGCTTCAGCATAAAAATAAGTGTGAGGATGGCACAGGCCTGAGAAGAGTTTTGTTCTATAGGACACAGGGTCACTACGAGTTGGAACTGACTCAACCTCACCTGTCAACAACAACTGGTTCAATTATAGCTCATCGCTCCCCACTGTCCAACCAAATGAAACACTTCCTGGTCCTGTGCCATCCTCACAATCACTGTGATAAGTGAGCCTACGCTTGCACCCACGCTATCAATCCATCCCATTGAGGGTCTTCCTTTGTTTCACCGACCCTCCGCTTGTCTAGTCCTGGCGTCCTTCTCTGGGGCTGATCCCTCCTGATAACACACCAAAAGCATATCATGCTCTACGTGCTTATTGGCTATATTTCTTCTTGAGGAGCCTTTTGGTTATATTTCTTCACAAACAGATTCCCATGAAGATTACAGCCCAGAAAACTCTATGGGGGCAATTGTATTCTGTCCTGATCTCTGTCAGAATTTTTTTGATGCACACACTCTTACCAACACCATTGTGCTTTTAGGAATGATGAAGCAAAGAGACTTGGCACATAGTAGCTGCTCAATAAATACTGTTGAGTGAATGAATGTGCTTTACCCAGGATTGTCTTTGTGTGTCATAGTTACTTTAATTCAAGATATCAAAAGAGGGATTCTTCTCTTCAAAAGATTTATCTCATTTTCTTTTTCTTCTTCTTCTGATTCATCTTTCTTATCTTTCCTCTTGTCTTTACATCTTAAAAAATGTATACATTTTTTCTGATGAGAATAAGGGATTTAAAATAGAAATATCAGGACTTTCTTTCAGTTGGTGCATGCATATGCATGTACTTCAGTGTCTTCATTCAGCATTCTCGCTTATATTTTAGCTATCTCACCAAGGTTTTCCCATCAGTTATTATTTCACAGTTTCAGAAACATCTTCCAACAGAAGTTCTGTCTAAGTCAGTCATCACAAAATACAATTGCACTCCTCTTTCACCCCGTGATACACTTTTAAAATTCACTTAACTGCTTCTAACACATTTACTCCTACCACAAGCTGTGTGGGATTATCAGAGATAGTCACTCAAGCAAGTACATTTCCGACTAGTCATTTTGTACCCAACACCTTCAAAGACTGGATGCTGCTTTTGTTGAGAGGCTGAAGGCATGTGGTGTTTGGTGACAGAATTTTCAGTTTTATGTTAGATCATGCCAGGCAGCAGATGGCATGGGTCATCACAAAATTTATCTTTGATTCTGTTTCATTGTTTGCTAATATTACCATAATATTTGTGAAATGTTTCAGCATTATGCTCCTTTTTTCTGTTTCTTCATTATAAAACCTGTAACGTCCTAAGATGCTGACCTAGGGAAACAATTCTGCCTCTCATTTTCATCGGCACATCCCCGTTTCATCTTATCATCAACATTGCTATCTGTCATGGCGTTGGAGGACATGCTGCAAAGAAAATACCTTAAAATGATCTATCTATCTACCATCTATCTATCTATCTATCTATCTATCTATCTATCTATCTATCTATCTATCTATC